AAAAAAAAATCTCTAGCTGTAGCTTAATTATTAGAAGTGTGGTGAGAGGTAAAGTGTTTGACCGGTGCCTAAATTGTTGTTTAAATAATCACTTAAATCATTGTCCAATCACTGTTTAATTACCATTCAATTATCACTTAATCACCATTTGATTACCATTTCATTTTCATTTAATCATCAATTAATTATCATTTGATGGTCATTTGATCATTAATAAGACCCTTTTAGTTAACCCTGTGACGATGACTTCTTTTAGCACTTCGCCTGCGATAGGAGGCTGGCCCCGTGGGCTCCACGCCAGGGCTACAGCACCTTTGGGCTTCAGTGGAACGGCAGCATCTTGTATGCTGTCCTTGGCAGAAAGTCTGGGGCCCTTCCACTTTCCCTCTCCTTCCTGCAGCTTTTGTGTTCTGGGTGGAGTATTGTTCCTGTGGCTGGGTCCCAGTAGTCTGGTGGGGAAACTGGTGTGGTGGGGCGACCAGTGCTGGTGTAATAGCCTTGTTGGGGAAGGAGTCATGGGATGGTTGTTGCTGCAGGGCCCTGGCAGCTGTTGCATGGGGAGACTTTGTCCATAGGGGCTGAGGGACATCTCGAAGGAGTGCTGGTGTCTCCCGCTGCGCCTGTGCTCACTTTAGGTGTCCTGCTCAGATGTCATGCCCAGAGGAACTGGCTGCCCTGGCAGATGAGGACTTGCTTGACTTCCTACTGAAGGATGATGCTCCCTACCTTGAAATCCCGGGGGAGGAGCATGGTCTGCTGGAAGACTGGGGCCTGCCAGAGCCTGAGGTGAGTTCTTTGCGAGGAATCGCTGTTGGGCTGTGGTTCAGGAGGCTTGGCTCCCTGCGGAGTAAAAGCTTTTTCTCCACAGCTCCTGGACAAGGAGATGGATGACTTCATCAGCTCCATGCTGAGCCCCTTTGAAGATGAACCAGGCACGCTGCAGGGTTATTCGCCTGCTGACAGTGACAGTGGCATTTCTGAGGATCAGCATCTGTCCCATAGCCCTGGCAGTGACTTTGCTGGCAGTCCTCGGAGCTCAGACATTGTGCAGGTTGATCACAACTATTCCCTCCATCAGGATTGGCCTGCTCTGGAAAGCGTGAGGTCTGACACGGCAGAAGGAGATGTTTCCATTGACTTTGGTAAGTGATGTGTGTGGGCTCTTTCTGTCCTGGGTACAGGCAGAAAAGCAGTCCCACACTGGGTTTTTTTGGGTGGGTGCCAGGCAGCAATGGAGGGAGCTGAATTTAGTGGCTTTCTGCTGTAAAATTGTGGTTTCATGGTACTTGAAGCTGGCTGGTCAGGTGCTGCCTCACTGAGGCCCAGCGCTTGACTCTTCTTTCCTTCCCCAGGAGCATGGACGGGTTTGGAAGGCACAAGCAAGGCACTGGAACAGAGCTGCAGTTTCCCCATTGCTGTTGCTGTGGATGCCGAACCCCAGCTTGTGCCTGGAGCCATCGTGCAGGTACTGACCGCCATGGTGTGGGCCCCAGCCTTTGCTTCTGGTCGCATCTCCCCTTCTCTCCTGGTTTGGCTCCTGTGGGGGATATCTCTGAGGAAAGCATGATGCTGTTCTGGGAGAGCTCATCCTGGTTCTGTGTGCTTTCTGTATGCCTTCTCTGCCCTGGGGTGAACACCCTTTACTTTGCATTCTTAGCGGGCGTATTTTTGCTGTTTTCTAGTCTGACTTCCCAGAGCTGGTCCTGACAGAGGAGGAGAGGCAGCTCCTGGAGAAAGAAGGTGCTTCATTACCAATCTGTCTGCCACTGACCAAAGTGAGTCCTTGCTACAGCCTGTCACTCCCAAACAGGCTTGGACCACTCGAATGCTTCAGCCAGAGTAGAGGTTCAAAAATACAGGATGGTGCCTTGATGAGAGCATTGGTGCCCAGGTGCTGTGTTCAGGGCAGTGTGTGGCAGGGCTTGGTGTCCTTCTCCTCCTTTTGAGGCTGGGGGGGGGTGTCCACGTGCACAGCAGCCTCTGCTTTGCTAATCATGTAGATATGAAGAGCAATGAGACCTGGCTGCTGTCAGTCTCCCCACTCATGACTGCAGGGAGGCAGCTACACCACAAGTGCCTGCAACCTATTTTTTCCCGCTTGCCTAGTGGCTTGCGAGCTGCGTGCTTTTCATCTCCTGTAGGTATGCCTCACTTTTGCTACACTGGGGAAGCTGCTGGTTGCATCAGCAGGCCAGAGTTTGCTTTGCAGCTCCTGCAGTTCATTCAGTGGTGTGGGAGGGCCAGAGGACAAAAGCACTCGGGCTGAGCACTGAGATGTATGCAGGGTTTGTGAGGGCTGGATTGCCAACGCCCTGGGGTTGCTGCTAATGAGAAGTGACCCTTGCAGGCCGAAGAGCGGCTTCTGAAGAAAGTGCGTCGGAAGATCCGGAACAAGCAGTCAGCCCAGGATAGTCGTCGCAGGAGGAAGATCTACGTGGATGGCCTGGAAAACAGGTACTGGTACACTGCAGTGGCACCCGACACTGAGGGGACAGACAGGTTTAGGGATCTTTGGCAGAATGGTGACGGCACTGAATAGTAGTTTCAGTTAACGCTTTGTTTTCTTAACATATTATGATTAGTATGGCACGGAATTTATGATTAGAATGGAACAGAACTTCCACAAGCAGAATCAATGTAGTGCAATCTATAAGCAGTAATACAGAATTTATAATACAACTTAACTTATGATTTCTGATCACCTAGATTCTAATACAACTTAACTTATGATTTTTAATCACCTGGACCCTCTGCAGATCGGGTGGATCTTACTACATGGTTTGTTATATCAATAAAATGATCATAATCTAGACTCGAAAATGGTACAAAGGAATACGAGTCACTCCCTCAATCATGGGAGGAAGCAGATGATGGTGGAGGTGTCCCTGGCCAGGGTGGGTCCCGGGTCTCACTGTCCAGCAGCAGCTCCGGTCCAAGTTCCCCCTTAGGACTTGTAACTGCTTGATTTTATGGACAGTGCTCTGTGTGCTGTTATGCTTCCCTGCTCTGTGACAGGGTTGTCAACAACACCTGGCTGGCCGGGTGCCTGGGACCTTCAAGGCCGGTGAGGAAGGGAGTAACTGGCCTGCGCCCAGGAACCTTGAGGCCAATAGGGAGGGGAAGAAGAAATCTGTTTGGTTTGTCTACTTGGTGCACAGGACCTTCAGGGCCTGATAATGAGGGGATGGGAATGAATACGTGACCTGCTCAGTATTAGAGAATGGCTGCTTGCCTCATAAAATGGCGTTAGTTGTGCTAACCGCATTGCCAGGGGTCGGGAGCAGGGAGTACCAGTCACAAGCAGCTGTGCTGTGCCGCTGCTGGGGTCTTGCCATCCTGGGCAGAAAGTGAGGCTGACCCTGTGGGGCAGCAGCTCTCCTCAGGGGGCTCAGAAGCTCGGGGCATAGCCTACCCTGCTCTCTTACACTTGGAGATGGCCCAGAGCTTGCTCTGTTCAAGTCAGGTGCTGGCCTGCCAGGTCCAGCATGTTCTCCAGGTCAGGCTAGTTTGCAATGCAGCCTGATGTCGCAGATCTGCAGGGCTGGTGTGCCGTGAGGAGTGAGCATCCATAGTGATTAGTCTGGTGCTTCTCTGTGGGACTGGGCAGGGCTCACGCCTCCCCAAACCTGGTGTGAGATGTCGCTCTCTGGGCTTTGCTCCAGGTGGTGCCAGATAGACCCCAGGGGCAATTTAACTGCCCCAGCCACCCAGAGGTGGTGGCTGATTACCTGAGGAGAGACTCTGGTGAAGTCCCTGCTGTTACTAAAAAAACCTCTCTGTTTTTCCCCCATGCTGTTCGTCTTTCCTGGAAGGGTGGCAGCCTGCACAGCTCAGAACCATGAGCTGGAGAAGAAGGTGCAGCTGCTGCAGAAGCAGAACATGTGAGTTCTTGTTGTTGGATGTGGCAGGAGATGTGATGGGGAAGGCTGTTCCTCTTCTTGGTATTGTGGCCTGTCCTTGGCTGCAAAGTGGAGTGGAGGGGAGCGTGCAGCTCTTGGTTCTGCTGCGTTAACCTGCATTGCCTGCTCTCCTGCAGGTCACTGCTCGAGCAGTTGCGGAAACTGCAGGCCTTGGTGAGACGGTCCACCACCAAAACTACCACAACAAAAACCTGCACCTTGGTGAGTGGCTTCAGCCCCAGTGCCTGTGAAGGGGTCTCTCCTGTCCTTATAAGCTTGGGAGAGAGGCGTTTATTGTGGCCGATGATGCTTACCCATGTCCTTTGCTGAGGTCTGTGCTGATCTTCTTTCTGTTTCCAGGTTGTAGTTCTGTCCTTCTGCCTCATTCTCTCGCCCAGCATCTGCTCGTTTCAGAGCAGAGAGCCACAGCCGGAGCTCAGAGGTGAGTGCCCAGGGGCTGAGGCTCCAGGTGAAGCGCTGCCTTCCAGGGCAGAGAACGTTCCTCAGAGACAGCCTGAATTCTGGGGCGCCTCCAACCCAGCAGCCCCTTGCCTGGGGTGGGAGTGTCGATCTGCTCGAGGG